AATCCAGCTTGTACATCTGGAAGTTCACGATTCATGTACTGTTGAAGCCTGGCTTGGAGAATTTTGAGCATTACTTTGCTAACATGTGAGATGAGTGCGATTGTGAGGTAGTTTGAACACTCTTTGGTACTGCCCTTCTTTGGAATTGGAATGAAAACTGACCTTTTGTAGTCCTGTGGCCACTGCTGAGTCTTCCAAATTTGCTGGTATATTGAGTGCAGCACTTTCACACCATCATCTTATAGGATCTGAAATAGCTCCACTCAAGTTCCATTACTTCCACTAGCTTTGTTCGTAGTGATGCTTCCCCTAAGGCCCACTTGATTTCGCATTCCAAGATGTCTGGCTCTAGGTGAGTGAGTACACCATTGTGATTATCTGGGTCATGAAGACTGTTTTTGTATAGTTCTGTGTTTTCTTGCCACCTCTTTTTAATATCTTCTGCTTGTGTTAGGTCCATACCATTTCTGTCCTTTATTGTGCCCGTATTTGCATGAAATGTTCCCTTGGTATCTCCAATTTTCTTGAAGAGATCTCTAGTCTCTCCCATTCTGTTGTTTTCCTCTATTTCTTTGCATTGATCACTGAGGAAGGCTTTTTTATCTGTCCATGCTATTCTTTGGAACTCTGCATTCAAATGGAGAGAAATTCCTTTTCTCCTTTGTCTTTAGCATCTCTTCTTTTCTCAGCTATTTGTAAGGCCTCCTCAGACAACCATTTTGCCTTTTTGCATTTCTTTTTCTTTGGGATGGTCTTGATCACTGCCTCCTGTACAATGTCACAAACCTCTGTCCATAGTTCTTCAGGCACTCTATCAGATCTAATCCCTTGAATCTATTTGTCACTTCCACTGTATAGCTGTAAGAGATTAGATTTAGGTCATAGCTGAGTGGTTAGTGGTTTTCCCTACTTTCTTCAATTTAAGTCTGAATTTGGCAATATTTATTTTCATGATCTGAGCCACAGTCGGCTCCCTGTCTTGTTTTTGCTGAGTGTACAGTGCTTCTCCATCTTTGGCTGCAAAGAATATAAGCAGTCTGATTTCAGTATTGACCATCTGGTTATGTCCATGTGTAAAGTCTTCTCTTGTGTTGTTGGAAGAGGGCGTTTGCTATGACCAGTGTGTTCTCTTGGCAGAACTGTTACCTTTGCCTTGCTACATTCTGTACTCCAAGGCCAATTTTTGCCTGTTACTCCAGCTATTTCCTGACTTCCTACTTTTGCCTTCTAGTCCCCTAAAATGAAAAGGATTCTTTTTTGGGTGTTAGTTCTAGAAGCTTTTGGAGGTCTTTACAGAACCGTTCAACTTCAGCTTCTTACAGCATTACCGGTCAGGGCATAGACTTGGATAACTGTGATACTGAATGGTTTGCCTTGGAAACAAACAGAGATCATTCTGTCGTTTCTGAGATTGCATCCAACTACTGCATTTCAGACTCTCCTGTTGACTATGACGGCTACTCCATGTCTTCTAAGGGATTCTTACCCCCAGTAGTAGATATAATGGTCATCTGAGTTAAACTCACCCACTCCAGTCCACTTTAGTTCAATGATTCCTAAAATGTCGATGTTCACTCTTGCCATCTCCTGTTTGGTCATTTCCAATATGACTTGATTCATGGGCCTAACATTCCAGGTTCCTATGCAATATTGCTCTTTACAACATCGGATTTTACTTCCATTACCAGTCACATCCACAACTGAGTGTTGTTGTTGCTTTGGCTCCATCTCTTCATTCTTTCTGGAGTTATTTCTCCACTGATCTCCCATAGCATACTGGACACCTACCGACCTGGGGAGTTCATCTTTCAGTGTCCTATCTTTTTGCCTTTTCATACTGTTCAAGGGGTTCTCAAGGAAATACTACTGAAGTGGTTTGCCGTTCCCTTCTCCAGTGGACCATGTTTTGTCAGAATTCTCCACCATGACCTGTCTGTCTTGGGTGGCCCTACATGGCATGGCTCATAGTTTCATTGAGTTCAGATAAGGCTGTGGTCCATGTGAGCAGATTGGTTAGGTTTTTGTGATTGTGGTTTTCAGTCTGTCTGCCCTCTAATGGAGAAGGTAAGAGGCTTATAGAAGCTTCCTGATGGGAGAGACTGACTCAGGGGGAAACTGGGTCTTGTTCTGATGGGCGGGGCCATGCTCAGTAAATCTTTAATCCAATTTTCTGTTGATGGGTGACTTAACCCTATTAAATATGCATATTAATCCATCAGGAGGCTTAGCCAAAATTTCTTTCTGGTTTTTAAGCAGACATTCATTCCTACAATCTGTGAATGAGTTTTCTTTCTTTTTAACACATATCTTTTCTTTTCTACCTAGAACTTCCAATGCAATGTTCAATAGTAATGATAATAGTTAACCTTGACATGTACATTTTCATAGATATCTCCTGAAATTAAGGAAGGTCCATTCTATTCCTAGTTTACTAAGAGTTTTTAATCATAAATTACTGTGGAATTTAACAGAATGCTTTTTATTTGTTGAGAAATTATTGAGTTCTACTTCTTTAAAACATGGTGTATTATGTTAATTTTTTCCTAATAATCAATCTCTCATTTTTTGAATAACTTTGATTTGTTCACAATGTATTATATATTATTAAATTCAGCATGCTAAAGTTCCTTTTTTGTGTGTGATTTTTGCCTCCAGATTCATGAGTGAAATGGGCTTGTTATTTTCTCATGCTATCCTTGATTGATTTAGGTACCTAAAGTCACACTTCCCTGTGTAAACAGCAACTTTTGCTGTTAGGACTAATCCACATTTTGTTTTTGTCTGGTGTTCTCTATGAGAAAAAACTAACCAGCTAATTTATCTTCTCTACTTAAGAGTCAGTTTTGATAATTTAAATAGCTATAGAAATATATACAGTCACAACTTTTAAAACATTTACACTTATTATGAATATATAAACCTCTGCTGCATTATTGTAATGCCCTGGTGGCAGTCATAATTATTGTGAAATGTATTGTGCATGTACTTCCACACTTTCTTATGTTTTCTAATGATGTCCTTTTTCACATTTCTGTTTCTTTTCTCTCTCTCCTTTCTCAAGACTCCTTCTTGAATGTTTGGGCAGTGGTCATTTTTCCTCTACTTTGCTCCTCCTACTTTAACCTTTCCTGTTTGGAAGTTACATATTTCAATTTCTCTTTTTTTTTTAACTGGTTTACCCTACAAATTTTAACATGCACATTTCACTTAATAAACTCTTAAGTTAACCAATTATCTTAACTTTCTCCCAACAATACAGAGAATACTTTAACTCTGATCACTGCTTTGACAACGTTTAGTTCTATCTTCTTTGATTTAAAAAAGTGACAAATGAGACATCAGTATTATTTTATACAGTTTACACATAACTTTACTACTTGTTTAGTAGACTTCACTGGTGAGATGGTGAAGAATCTGTCTGCAATGTGGGAGACCTGGGTTCGATCCCTGGGTTGGGTAGTTCCCCAGGAGAAGGGAATGGCAACCTATTCCAGTATTCTTGACTGGAGAATTCCATGGACATAGGAGCCTGCTGGGCTACAGTCCACAGGATTGCAAAGTGTCAGACAAAATTGAGCAACTAACACTTACTATGTGTTTACCATTTCATTGCTCACATCTTTTTACCTCTCAGACTTTCTTCTGAAATAATTTTCCTTCTTCCTCAATTAAACACTTTCAAAGTTCCTTTATGAGGATCTCAGACTGTTCTCTCAACCCCTTCACATTCTGAGACCATATCACTACCATGTTTGGTATTCTAAAATTTACTACAATGTGTCTATTTATTTCATTTACACAATCTGGAATATATTTAGGTGCAATGAATCTGAGGATTCAAGTTTTTCAGCATTTCTGGGAAATTCTTAGTCATTCTTTCCTTGAGTACTGCCTCTTCTTTAGTCCATTATTTTAACTAGCAGGTCTCAATATTGATTTCATACTTTTTATTTTTTTGCTTTAGCTCTATATTTCATTTTTAGAAACACTGTCAAGTATTTTGGTTCACATATTCTCAAATATGTCTGCTTTGTTATTTTACCTGTCCATCAAGTTTCTCTCTCATGTATTTTTATTTATATTCTCACTGATTCTTTTTCAAATTTACCTGATCTTTTTGTTACTTACTCCTTTGCAACCTTCTTTCAGTTCCTAAATAAACTAAATATTCCTAGTTTACATTCTATATATAAAAGCTCTATAGGTCAGATTATATAGCCTGTTGTTTTTATTAGCTCTCATTTCTGATGGTTCATTTCCTCCTATGCTTTGTGATTTTTTGGGGTATGGATTCATGAATTTCTTGGAACTTTACGTTAGATTTCTTTTCAGGACTGTATTGAAGGCATTTTCCTTCAGAGGATTTGCATCTGCTTCTGCCAGAGATATTACTAAGCGAGGACACTTTAAACTAAAATTACAATGTATTTGTTGAGACTTGTTTGAAAGATTTTTTTTCTTCTTCCTTCTACTACTGTATTCAGAGATAACAATGAGACAAGTAGCCCCACTTTGTGATTTTTTTTTTCCCCTGCTACACACTACTCATAGTTTTATCTTCTAACTCTTCTACACCCTCAGGACCCCCAATCCTATGCAACAAATTCAAAGCCAGGTTTCAGGGCACAAGGTAAGTAAACAACCCTGGGAAAACAACTCCAGAGTTTGCAGAAATCTTTGGATCCAAATCACTTTGTGCTGTTTGTAAACTTACTTCTCCTTTTCACAAGTCCAGTAATACATTTAAAAAGTTTCTTACACTATTTCTAAGGCTGAAGGTGTTACACACTTGGAGAATTCTCTAGGTATATAGCAAACTACATAGCAAACTACTTCTGGAAATGGAGATCTTTCCTCAGTGTCTCTACCTGCCAACTTCATTATCTATATTCAAGCAAAACACATTTGACATACCCAAGGAATTAAGATGTAGAAATTGATTTGTTACCAAAAGCAATTCATGGTTTTGAATTTTGTTAAAAGTACCTATGTTAACTTACCTTATCTGCCCGTCCCATGAAAGCAGGTTTGCCTGCTAATCCAAGGCAAATGGCACATACGATGCTGGACTTCCCTGTTCCATTAGCTCCAATGATCATATTCAAGTGGGGCCCAGGAGATACTTCACAGACATCATATGTCCTAAATTATAAAGAGGTGAGATTACTAAGTAGAGACAAGAAGTAAAGAATATTTTCCTACCTAAAGCACTTGCTTTACCCTTATCACTATCTATAGGTTTCCTCAAATTCTTTAAAAACCAACTAACCTTATAAATTTTAATGTAAGTAAGATTAGTTTATAGATTGTTAATAATTTAGATGGGGAAAAAAAATCTGTCAGTGAGAGAAATGAAAAAGTGACAAAGTATATCTAAAATTAGGACATTCATGGGAAAATAAAAGTTCACATAATTTTTTTTCAAATATTAAGTCTGCTGAATAGAGCAAAGTTTGATACAATTTATTCTTAAGTAATTCTAATACATGAGAAACTACATCAAAGCTACTGTACAAATGAGTTTTAAACAAATTATATGTAAGTGAAGTAATGGCTCATTCTAAATTTGTGTATTTTACATTTCTATCTCTCTTGAATTAAAATGCTTACTAGAAACTTATCATAGTCAACTGAATTATTTTTATTATAATTAGAAAACTGAGACATAGCAACTCAATAATTTATTTATTAATTTTTAAAAATAACATAAATTTCCTTTAATATGCTGCCAGACATTCACCAAAGGATCTATTTCTAGTACAAATTAAATTTTATTCCTACGGGAGGAAACAAGAGTGCATCATCACCAAGCATGTCTGTAACATTCCCTCATACTAGAAAGCAGCATGCTGTCCTGCTCTCTACCTGCAACAGTAGCATCTAATCCAGATTAGTCTTCAGGGACAGCTATGGCAAGATGTGAAGGAAACTGACTCAGTATCTCTGTACCATGTCCTTGAATATCTGGAACTGGAGCCCATAACTAATGTCCTGTGCCCAGTTTCAGTTGGCTACCAACTAATTCCCCAAGGGTAAAAGCTTAACCTATTACTAACTTGCTAGGTATTCAAAGAATTTAACCAAGCACACTTCAACTTTAATACTCCCAGAAATTAATAATTCTGAAATTCCAAGTGGTAATAAAATAAATACAGGTAGTAAAGAAAAGTATTTTCCAGGTTTCCAACCCCACTTCTCTGCAGAGCATCCATCTTTTCAGAAGCTTTATTCTAGTAACAGTAGAGTCTTGAAACAATCCTTTACAACAGTTAGCAAACAAATACAAATACAAACAAATACAGCTGAAAAAAAGCATGAAAACTTCTGACCTATATCATTACACGCAAACACTATAAACAGAAAAAGCTGCCAAAAACTAAATAAAGCCTCTGCATTTAAGAAAAAAACCATTCTGACTCTACAATATATTTATTGGAAATTTCCTTTTGTGAGTTCCCTTTTCTCTGACCTCTCCCTGAAAAAGCTAACTTCAGAGGCCAGTTTACATACTTTATCTAGTACCTCATATATTCTCCATGGCCTCAGGTAACATCTATATACTGAAAGTCAGTTCAGATGACCTACAGATGCAATTCCCACCTCAAGAACTCTATTTGGATGTCACACAACAGTCACTTCAAACTTAACATATTCAAAACTATTACACTGGTGCAAAAGTAACTGTGGTTTTACATTGTTGAACTTTGTTGTTTGACATTGGAATAGATTTTCAAATAAATGTGGTTATGTTACACATCATTTTAATGCATATTTTTTGCCTCTTTTTTGCTAATGACTTATTACTTGCTGTGTATTTTATATTTATTTTAGACTAGGGAAATGATGTTAGACAAAATGCAAATTCGAGCAATTTTCTTATTCGAGTTCAAAATGGGTCATAAGGCAGCGGAGATAACTCGCAACAACAACCACGCATTTGGCCCAGGAACTGCTAATGAAACTGTACCGTCTCAAGAAGTTTTGCAAAGGAGATGAAAGCCTTGAAGATGAGTAGCACACTGGCCGGCCATTGGAAGTTGAATGACAACAACCAACTGAGAGAATCATCAATGCTGAACCTCTTACAACCACACCAGAAGTTGCCCAAGAACTCAATGTCAATCCTTCTATGGTCATTTGGCATTTGAAGCAAATTGGAAAGGTGGAAAAGCTTGATAAGTGGGTGCCTCATGAACTGACCAAAAAAAAAAAATCATTGTTTTGAAGTGTCATCTTCTCTTATTGTATGCAACAACAAACCATTTCTTGATTGGATTGTGACATGTGACAAAAAGTAGATTTTATATGACAACCAGTAATGACCTGCTCAGTGGTTGGACCAAGAAGAAACTCCAAAGCACTTTACAAAGCCAAAACTCTTTTGGTGGTCTGCTGCCCATCTGATATACTACAGCTTTCTGAATCCTGGTGTAAAGAAACCATTACATCTGAGAAATATGCTCAGCAAATCGATGAGACGCACAGAAACTGCAATGCCTGCAGCCAGCCCTGGCCAACTGAATGGGCCCAATTCATCTCCATGACAATGCCTGACCATGTATCGCAAAACCAGCTCTTCAAAAGTTGAACGAATTGGGCTAGGAAGTTTTGACTCAACAGCCACATAACCTATCGCCAACTGATTACCACTTCTTCAAGCATCTCAACAACATCTTGCAGGCAAATCACTTCCACAACCAGCATGAAACAGAAAATGATTTCCAAGAGTTCAACGAATCCTGAAGGACGGATTTTTACACTACAAGAATGAACAAACTTACTTCTTGTTGGCAAAAATGTGTTGATTATAATGGTTGCTATTTTGATCAATAAAGATGTGTTTCAGTCTAGCTATAATAATTTAAAATTCACAGTCCAAAACCAGAATTACTTTTTCATAAGCCTTAAAAAAAAAAAAAAAATCTAAAACCACTCTTGCAGTCTCTTAGTGAAAGATACCATTATTCATCCCCCTGCCCACAGCAGAAACCTAGGCATCATCTTTGATTCTTTCCATCTCCTTCACCTCTGTTCACACTACCCACCCACTCATCATTCCATTTATCACCAAATAATGTTGGTAAACAAGAAAATCTGACATACATTGTTTTTTAAAAAAGAAACAGATAAAATAGGACCTTTCATAATTTAGGTCTAGATCATCTTTTTCTACTTTCTACTCCTTCCCCTATTCTCTAATTAGACCTCTCAAGTTTACCTGTAAGGAATTTCCTTCAGTTTCTTGACTATCTTACGCTTCCTTCTTTCTCAAAGCCTTTGCATATGCTATCACTGCTGCCTAGAAATCTCTTCCCTCTACTCTCAATCCCACTGGACTTGGTTAACTGACAGCAATCTTTCCCTTGACTACTCTCTTCCAGGCCATTTCAGTTTTCTAGGCCTACTCTTCTTACTTCATTCCTAAAACTCAAAGTCCTCTCACAAAAATAAACAAAACCTTACTTAGTTCTGCACTTTCCAGCTACCTTTTCTTTCTCCTCTTCACATCCAAGCTTTACTTCCTCACACTCATTCATTCTTCTGACTGCAAAGTTTTCCACTTCCACTACCTCAAAGCACCAAAGATCTGACTGCTAAATGCAGCAGGTTCTTTTCTGTACTGTTATCTGACTTCACGGTATCACATGATGTTTCTGAAGCACTCTTTTTCCTTGGGTTCTCTGATAATACTCTCCCACGGGTCCCCCCTTATTTCCCTGAACAGTTCCTTCTCAATCTGTCAGTTCTGCTTGCCCGTAAATGTTGGCATTCCTATCGAACTCTGTACTTGGACTTCTATTTCTATTCCCTTTGAGGCAATTTCAACCATTTCTGCAATTTTAACAATCACCTATATGCATCATTCTCAAGTCTCTCATCTATTAACATTTTCCTATAAGCTCCAAACCCTTATAAATACTGCCCATCGAAGACCTTTTAGATGCCCCACAGGAAACTTCAATTCACAAGATACAAAAGGCATTTATTATTACCCTTCCAGAATTACTCCCTCTTTGGCACAGCTCTACACCAACTAGCCAAGAGAGACCTGAGAAAAATGCTCCATTTCTCCTTCACCCTGATGCCTCGCAATTAATCTGCAGACAAAATCCTGTCAAATCTATTCTTTCTGCTCCTACTTCCCACTGCGAGACTCAAATCCCGATCATCTCTGCCTTCATATTGTAAAAGCTTTCTTGCCTCCAATCTTGCCCCCTTTCTAAATCATCCTTCACACTGCTTCCAAAGTAATATAAACCACACAAGGGTGCATGCGTGTGCGCTATTTCAGTCATGTCCAACTCTCTGTGATGCTATGGATGAAGCCCACCAGATTCTCCAGGCAAGAATACTGGAGTGAGCTGCCATGACGCCCTCCAGGAGATCCATCCCCTGTCTCCTAATTCTCCTGCATTGGCAAGCAGGTTATTTACCACCAGCACCACCTTTGAAGCCCAAACCACATATGATGCCCTATTTAAAATGCATCCTGGCTGCCTACAGGATAAAGTTGCAATTTCTCAGCACAGGAAACACAGACCCTCAATAATCCTATTTATCATCAGTATCAACTCTATCCATACACTCACTCACATCCTATGTCCTAGTCATACTAGGATACTGGAAACTTACTAAATACAGCAAACTGTTTCAGGTAGTTTCATGCTCTCCCCGTAAGACTTTCATATCCTTCAGTACAAGGCCCTTCTCACAACTGTGGAGGAAATTAATCATTTCATCCTTTGTGCCCCAGGTCATCCTGATAACACACACACACAAAATTATAGTAGGTACTTCATTTGACTATATTTATCTTTCTTGATTTGAATTTAAACAACTCAGCTACGTATCAGCTGAATAAACCTGGGCAAATTAACCTCTCTGAGCTTATCAGTGGAGATAATACAAAGAGTTATGAGGAATGAATGAGGGTACTGTGTAAATAAAGTACCTATTTCTACACCTGGCACAGAATAGATGCTTTAAAAAAAATGTCGTTATTGCTACTGTAATTGTTTTCCTTGGGCCACAGTGCAAGCTTAAAATATAATAGACAAATGAACTGCAAGGTACTAGACGAATACACGGTAGTTGTGTTACAATATCTTTACAATTCTAAAGTGAATACTATGATTAGTTAGTTGTCTGAAGGGTGAGAAAGGAACCAGGGAAGAAAGTCAGATTTGAAGGAGTCAAGGCTCTGCTGCGTAACGGAACAATTGAGAGCAGGGCTTAATTTTCTGGTACATTTCAGGAAATGTCTCCATCCACGATAACCATCACCACTGTCCACCTGATAACTGCCTTCTCTTCACAAATGTGCCACAGCGTCACTGTCGCACTGATTTAACTGTTGCTTTTTGACTTCCCAGGTTTTGTGAATTACAGATTATGTCTACAGGCCGTGACTCCCAGCGGGAGGAGATGTAATTCCTACTACGTCCACTGCCCGCCATTTGACGCCCTCAAACAACTTTGGCATTAGGAATTAAAAAACTGCAATACACAACGCACACAACCTACCACATCAACAAACACGTCAATCTCCTTGGAACACAAGCAAATATCCTCACCGCAATCCCCGGGCGAATTTACTAAAAGCCTCAAAAGCCAGGCACACCTCTACCGACCCGCCCCCCGCACGCACACAGCTTGCGCCCCTCGTGTGCCGGCCGCTGGCCTCCCACGCCGCGGCACGGCCTCCGGTCACTCACAGGAAGTTCTCCATCGCGATGCGGACGATAGAGCCTTCCACGAAAGGCCCGGACGACAGCAGCGGCGGTGGCGCCGCCGGTGGGACCGAACTCTTTTTCTTGCTCGGGACTTCCGACGAGGGGTCACTCAGGACAGCTCTCTTGGAGGCCAGGGAGCTTGGAGTGGACGTTTTCCTGCTCGGTGTCGCCATCCTGGCGGTCTCCCTTCCCGGCTGTGGCTTCCGTTCCCACCTACCTGCGGCCCCAGCACGCCGCCGTCCCACTCCCGCGCGAACAGCGCGGCGCGCGACTGCGCGAGAGCCCGCCCCGGCGCCTGCGCAGTCCCTGCCTGGTAGCGTCAGCGGGCATGCCCCACCCCTCCGCCCCTTGCGGGTCCTAGGAGACCGGAGCTGGCGGGAATGGGACGCGGTGGCACACGGGACCCCGCGGGAAGCGGCCACGGAACTACTCTGTACGTTTCTGCTTTTTTCCGATTTTTTTTTTAACTCAGAAAAAAAAATGTCAGCTGCATTTAATGTTTTGGAAGCCTTTTCAGTGCTCAAGGAAACATCCACGAGGGGAGGGAGTGCGGGACCTCGTCATCTTCTGACTGTACTTTTAATCAGGTCCTCGTGTCTAAACAAAAACCCCAACAAAGCAAGCTTTCAAATGACTATGCCAGCTCTTCCCTTAAAACATAGCGCTCGGGTCTGTTCCGCTCTCTAACAGGTGGAAAGATTGCACCGCACAGGTTTTCTTCACTACCCCACCACCCCCGCTCCCTAATTCGCTAGTAAGAATTCCCCCTTCGAGCTTTCTAGAAATACCCCAAGGAGCGCGCTGGCATCGTTGAGAGGATGCTTCCACTTAAACCTAGTCAGGTTCATCTAGTTAACTCCCTTATTGAAGATGAGGTTCACTGAGGCCTCTACAGGTCTTTAATAATGTCTGATCTACAATAGGCTAGGCTGAGGCAGTGAAGGAGCCAGGCAAGCAGGTCTCAGAGCTTACGTTCTGCTGTGGAAGACAGGAAAAGAACAAGATAACCTACATAGGATCAAGATAATTTCAGGCGGTGATAGGTGTCATGAAGAAAAAAAACAGAATGAATGTAAGAGAGAAGCGGGGAAGGCCTGTCAGAGAAAGTGATACTTGAGCTAAATCCTGAAGAAGGAAAGAGCGGAGGAAATGAGAAAAGAGCACTCCAGGCAAGGACAGAGGCTCTGAGGTGGAAACCAGCACAATGAGGAACAAAGGGAAGGCGGGCTAGGCTGCACTGAAGTGAGCAAGTTTGCAAAGGGGGGCCTCGCCCATCATGCATTTTATCTCAAAAGCAATGGTAAGCCATTGGATGGTTTTAAACAGGAGAGAGACAAGATCTGATTAAAGTTTTTAAATGGGGCACTCTGGTTGCTGATTCGTCAGAATCAAGCATAGAAGTTGGGAGGCAATTTAGAAAGCTATTGCAGAAAACCCTGATTCCCCACTCCAGGATAAATGCTCCTTTCCTAAGCCCCTGCCTCTCACACAACTGAAATCTGCACTGTTTAAAAGCTGTGACCGGAGAAAGAATATATATTTTTTTAATGTGAACATGTCTTGGTTGTTGGAAAATTTTAAGTTTTTCAGCAAATTAAATAATACCTTTAAAACTGTTCAAAAGGCAGGAAATAATCTTGTTAAAAATAGGGCTTAGGAGGGTACTATACCCTCATTTGCTACATTGCTAGTACAAATTTTTTGAGAAGTGCCTTGGTAACCTGCTTCAAGAGCCTTCAGTTCAGTTCAGTTCAGTTCAGTGGCTCAGTTGTGTCCGACTCTTTGCGACCCCATGAATCGCAGCACACCAGGCCTCCCTGTCCATCAACAACTCCCGGAGTTTACTCAAACTCATGCCCATCGAGTCAGTGATGCCATCCAGCCATCTCATCCTCTGTCGTCCCCTTCTCCTCCTGCCCCCAGTCTCTTCCAGCATCAGGGTCTTTTCCAATGAGTCAACTCTTCGAATGAGGTGGCCAAAGTATTGGAGTTTCAGCTTCAGCATCAGTCCTTCCAATGAACACCCAGGACTGAACTCCTTTAGGATGGACGGGTTGGATCTCCTTGCAGCCCAAGGGACTCTGAAGAGTCTTCTCCAACACCGTAGTTCAAAAGCATCAATTTTTCTGCACTCAGCTTTCTTTATAGTCCAACTCTCACATCCGTACATGACCACTGGAAAAACCATAGCCTTGACCAGACGGACCTTTGTTGGCAAGGTAATGTCTCTGCTTTTTAACATGCTATCTAGGTTGGTCATACTTTCCTTCCAAGGAGTAAGCGTCTTTTAATTTCATGGCTGCAATCACCATCTGCAGTGATTTTGGAGCCCAAAAAACTAAAGTCTGACACTGTTTCCACTGTCTCCCCATCTATTTGCCATGAAGTGATGGGACCAAATGCCATGATGTTAGTTTTCTGAATGTTGAGCTTTAAGCCAGCTTTTCCACTCTCTTTCACTTTCATCAAGAGGCTCTTGAGTTCTTCACTTTCTGCCATAAAGGTGGTGTCATCTGCATATCTGAGGTTACTGATATTTCTCCTATCAGTCTTTCCAGCTTGTGCTTCATCTAACCCAGCATTTCTCATGATGTACTCTGCAAATAAGTTAAATAAGCAGGGTGACAATATACAGCCTTGTGAAAGTGAAGTCACTCAGTTGTGTCCGACTCTTTGTGACCCCATGGACTGTAACCCACCAGGCTCCTCTGTCCATGGGATTCTCCAGGCAAGAATACTAGAATGCGTTGCCATTTCCTTCTCCAGGGAATCTTCCCAACCCAGGGATCGAACCTAGGTCTCCCGCATTGCAGGCAGATGCTTTAACCTCTGAGCCACCAGACATCCTTCACGTACTCCTTTTCCTATTTGGAATCAGTCAGTTGTTCCATGTCCAGTTCTAACTGCTGCTTCCTGACCTGCATACAGGTTTCTCAAGAGGTAGGTCAGGTGGTCTGGTATTCCCATCTCTTTCAGAATTTTCCACAGTTTATTGTGATCCACACAGTCAAAGGCTTTGGCATAGTCAATAAAGCAGAGATAGATGAATGTCTTTTTATGCCATTAAGCATTTTTATAGGTGGGAAGGAGGCTCAAGAGGGAGAGTGTATATGTATACTTAGGGCTAATTCACACTGATGTGAAACTAACACAACATTGTAAAGCAATTATCCTCCAATTAAGAATAAATAATAAAAAATATTTTTCTGTAACATGGTGTTAAGTAACTATATAGCATTCCATCAAACAAATGTACTGTAATTTATCTAAATACTTCTCTTTTGTTGGGTTCTGTATGACTGGAAGTTAGCATGAGTCAGAGAGGTGCTGGCAGGTTATATGAGCTTGTGCATGCTCAGTCTCTAAGAGATGTCTGACTCCTCTCAGAACCATTGACTGTAGCCCGCCAGACTGCTCTGTCCCTGGGATTTCCCAGGCAAGCATACTGGAGTGAGTTGCCATTTCCTCCTTCAAGGGATCTTCCCAACCCATGGATCAAACCCTCTCTTACAGTGGCAGGCAGATTCTTTACCACTGTGCCACCTTGGAAGCCCAGTGCTTCCTAATATTCTTCAAAAATTTCATACACCCATAAAGATACATACATGTATTTATTAACCAACCACATCTGGTTTCTTAAGTGCGCTGGTGAAAACTGTTGAAAGGGGTAGTGTTAAAGAATTAGAAGGAGGTCTTTAGAAATAGAATATCAATTAACCAGAATCTGATGCTAACGAATGAATGAACCAAAATGGTTAATCCTACACATCCATGATTTAAAGTGCAGTCATCAGTTGAATTCATTGTGCCATCCTTGCTACCTAGTAGACATAGCAAAGCAATTGTGTTTAACTTTTTACTGACCAAGGAATAAGTGCCCAGGGGGCATTTTAGTGATGGCTTTCCAATCCTGCAGAAACTTTAAAACAGACAGGGTAGGTAGGGTCAAGGATTATAATATATTTCACCTCACTGTCAGAATGCCATCTTTTGTTTCTTGGCTTCACTTCAAGCCCTGGATAATGATGCCAGAGTAGCAGGAAGGTGGGGGCAAGATGCATGGAGTGGGACTCCACTGAGCCATCTCTGACTGAGATAGTTTTCTCTTCCAGTTCTAACAAGAACCCTCACAGGTTAACAGGAATACTCTCCTCTGGTTTATATACCAAGTAAGACAGAATATTCCTTTTGCTTTTGGTAAATTCATAAAGTAGAAGAGTGAACCTTCCAGGCTTGACTCCGAGTAACAACCCTAAACACACACACACTCTCTCTCTCTCTCTCTCTCTCTCTCTCTCTCGTCTCTCTCTGGTCAACCTAGTGAAGGAACTGATCTGGAGGGCTAAAGAGAATGATCACCTTTCTCACAGACAGCTGAAACCCCAGACAAATTCTGCCAGAGGTAAAAATATCTAATCTCTGCAATTCTTAATTTTTAAAACTTGGTTTCTAACATCATCCTAAAGTTGAAAACAATCAAAATATCTGCTGCTTCTTGGTGTAGCTACATTAGTATTGGAATTGATTGTAGTAATATCTAACACTAACAGTATTACCATATACAAGATGCTGCTCTAAGCAATTTTTCACAACTCATTTTTATGTTCTGGATCAATGTCTCAATAGATCTGTGTCTTTCTCAAATTTCCATCTCTTGAATACAAAAACCAACTGAAAGACTCAAGAAATCATTAGGAATTAATGTAAGGTTTCAAGTGTTCTTTGTGATATGTCATGATAGGAAGCCTAGAGCTAAACAGGCCTTCATTTCTTTGGAGGATATCAACTGGGAAAACAATATTAAATAACTCCAGAAGGAATTTACCCTCCATTTCAAATCTAGGGGGAGAGCAAGCATTCTCCCTCACAACCAGTTACTGCCTATAGAAAAGAAAGTTGGTAATTGTCAGCACTGTTCTAAATCTGTTGATATCAGCTTCATAAATGATAAAATAAGTGAATTTTTTAGTATTAGGAACTGAGAGTGACATTTCATCTCATTATCTCCACAAGATGGGGTGCTGAACTCTCCCATAAGCTTGTTGGTTTTAAGTTCAATTATTTTTAAGTACAAACACAAACTCATAGGGAAAAAAATCAGATTTGTGGTTACCAGAGGCAGAGGGTGGGGAGAGGGGAAATTAGATGAAGTTGATCAAAAGGTATAAACTTC